TCCACGTGCCCGTTCCACAGAGCCACCAGCATTCAGTGGCCTTTTCCCCAGTTGGCTGATCTGTGTCTCCTGGAACCTAGGGCACGCCAGGTGTCCTCAAATCACGTCTCAGAGCTCAGAGCATCTGGCCAGGCAGGGGAGTCCAGACTCCAGTTTTTTCTACCCCAAACCTAATCTCTAATAGCAGACTCTGAACACACAGAAATTAGAGGGTGGCTTCTAAAGAGAACGTGTCAGTGCAATGAAGCTGCCTGCCCAGAAGCTGCAGGCTGGCCCTGGTATTTGTGAATGATGGTCTTTGTTCTCCTGGATCAAAACTTCCATCTCGGCCGGGCGCGGTGGCTCACGCCTGTAATCCCAGCACTTTGGGAGGCCGAGGTGGGTGGATCACGAGGTCAAGAGATCGAGACCATCCTGGTCAACATGGTGAAACCCCGTCTCTACTAAAAAATACAAAAAATTAGCTGGGCATGGTGGCGCATGCCTGTAATCCCAGCTACTCGGGAGGCTGAGGCAGGAGAATTGCCTGAACCCAGGAGGCAGAGGTTGTGGTGAGCTGAGATCGCGCCATTGCACTCCAGCCTGGGTAACGAGAGTGAAACTCGGTCTCAAAAAAAAAAAAAAAACTTCCGTCTCCACCACCAAGAAGGCCACCCTGTGTTGGCAGGCAAAACGCAGGTTATTCACATGTGATTTATCTGGCCGTCTATAATCCCAGGGAGAGTTCCCACCATCCACCAGCATTTTGGAAGAACGCCTGAGAACTGAGGCTGGGTGCAAAGGAATCACACTCCCTGGTAGCCACTTTTAATGGTGACAGACAGATTCTCTGAAACTGACAAAGATTGAATTGCGTCTGTTTCCCTGGAGTCATCGTGCTATGGGAGACGAAGAAGGAGGACATTGGGAGGGAGGACGGCGGGAGGGAGGACGGCGGGAGGGAGGAGGGCAGGAGGCCTCTGTTGCTCTGGATTGCTAGGCTACTGTTCCCAGATGGTGGATGGTGGGTGGACGGCGTGTGGACGGTGTTTGTTCGGTGCTGGCCCAGCTCAGTGGGGCCAGTGCCTCAGGTCATGTCTCATGCCTGCAAAGGGGTGTGGATGGAAGATGGAAATCTTGGTCCCACAGAGGGCTTGCTGTATGCCCCACAGGACTCAGATCACCAGGAAGAGCAGGAAGGGAAGCTGGGGAAAGTTGGTGCGTCGCCTGCGGTATGGCCGGCAAGCTGGGCTCTCCAGCCACACCCTGCTCCAAAGGAGCTCCCTACAGGATGGACTGACAATTTCCAAGAGAGAAAATGCTTTTTATCATCTATGGAATTTTGCTACCAAAGAGCCTCCCAGCCACCCGTGGCCTTCCCTAACCTGACAATCTTAATTCTCCCACAAAGTTTCTCCGTCCCAGACATCTGTGCAGCTCTGGGTGGGGTTTTTTCCTGAGGCCACTCTGACCTTGTGCTTCTCTTCTTTCCAAGCTGTGTGCCAGCCGCCAGCCCACAAGTGGCACCATGATCCGAACTCCTCACCTGAACACAGAATTTAATAGACTGAACCATGTCTCTCTGTAGCTGGGGACTTCAAGCCACATCTCACCTGCAGCCCGATCGCCTTTAAGCTTCAGCAAAATCCTCTTTCTCATGCAAAACAGTGCAGTCATAACTTTATATATTTTTTAGAAACTTCCTCTAGAGCCTCCACCGCATGGCCACAGCCTGAGACTTTGAAATCTTCATTTCCGAGACTTGTCCATTATCTGAAATGGCCATTTGTTTTGGTAAGTCAAGGAAGGACAGGCAGTTTCAAATGAGTCAGCTAATACATATGCAAAATTCACAGAAAATAAAAATGAAATATGACCACAAAACAAAAACAAACACAAAAACATAAGCAGGATTTTAGGTGTTCTCCTAATCAAGTGTTAATAGCTAAGTGAGGTCATTTTGGGTGCCGTTCCTGGTCAAAGCCAGGAGTGATGAGTTCCAGGCTGGACCCCTCCCCACCCTGCAGAGGTGCTGGGACCCACCTCTGTTTCTCAGTTGGCCACTGACCGGCCCCTGACCTGACCACATTTCTCTCTCTACACTTCTCTTCTGATCTTAAGATTGATTTTCCTCCAAGTGACAATATCCATAAAGAGAGGGCTGGCACTTCTCAGCTATTTGGGGAGCCCCAATGGATGATGTCAGGGAACAGTCATTGGCCATAAACACAGGCAGCACGTGTTCTGTCTCCTGAAGCCTCCTGGACGGGCAGCAGTGCGGCCCCACAAGGCCACAGGGGAGCCAGAGGGCTCGCTCTTTCTTTCTTTCCTTCCTTTCTCTCTCTCTTTCTCTCCTTCTTTCTTTCTTTCATGGAGTCTCACACTGTTGCTGGGCTGGAGTGCAGTGGCACGATCTTGGTTCACTGCAACCTCCGCCTCCTGGGTTCAAGCAATTCTGCTTCAGCCTCCCAAGCAGCTGGGATTACAGGCACCTGCCACCACGCCTGGCTAATTTTTTGTATTTTTAGTAGAGATGGGCTTTCACTATTTTGGCCAGGCTGGTCTTGAACTTCTGACCTCGTGATCCACCTACCTCAGCCTCCCAAAGTGCTGGGATTATAGGCGTGAGCCACCTCGCCCGGCCCATTTCTTTTTCTTTTGTTTTCTCTTCAAATAAAAGAAAAAGAAAAGAAAAAAAAGCCCTCATGGGATAAACTTACTGAGTTCAGAACATTTCAGGTCACGTATTCAGGCTGGCCTTGTTCTAATATGCTGCTGTGCTCTGGAGCTGACCCCGAGTCCTCTAGGGCAAGACCGAGGACGGAGTCGGCTCCCGAAAGCTGGTGCCGATGAACCCCACCACGGGCCAGACCTACAGACCCCTTGATGCCCTGTGCTGGGACCCTTCGGGCAGCTCGCACAGGTGTGGCCTGGGCCAAACCCTCCTGGCGCTCCTGGGGGCCTCTTGGGGAGCCTGGGCACCAGGGTTTGCCTGTGAGGACAGGACTGGGGGCCTACATTTTGCATCGTGTACCTGAAATGTTTGCTCTGGATTTTCCTTTCCAATGGTGCCTATGCAGGAATCCCACAGAATGCCTGGCGGGGTCTGAGGCAGGTCGGAGGCCGGGAGTGCTCCACGGGCAGCAGTATTTGGCTAGAATTTAATACCACTTTGTTTCTTTTTATCTGTTTTTATGGTAACCTCTCTATAGTAGTCGACACTAACCTACTACCTTTTTGAAACTAAACGTACCCTTTGAATAAAATACAAGAATTGTTTAAAGGAAAAGCATTGTGTAAATAATGGTTTCAGGGGATAGAAAGCAGAAGTAAGTTTTGAAGAGTCGAATTCTGTTTCTGACGTTTGGAGTGCTTTGCCAGCATCATCACCAGAAGATGGACCACCTCTGCTTGCATGCCTCCTGTAACAGGGAGCTCACTACCTTTCAAAGGCACCTGCTGCCAGGTCTGCTTGGAAATGCTGCTCCCTGCAGACCCCTCACTGAGGCCAGGCCTGCAGCAAAGCCCGCTCCCCGCTCGCAGGGGAAGCCCTTCCGGTGTGCTTCTTTCACTCCCGGCAGGCCTTGGGCCCCTGCGGCAGCACCTCACCCTCTGGGAGGGACCTTCTCTATCCTGGAACAATGGCGGCTCATTTCTTTCTCTTAAAGGACAGTGTCAGGAATGGAAGCAGATACCCAAGAGCAGCAGGTGAGAAATGTAGGGTGGCCTGGGACAGCGGGAGCCCTGAGGACACACCAAGGGGGTTCCAGGACCAGACGCGTGTGGGCACCAACTCCAAGCCCGGAGGACAGAAAACCATTTCATAAATAACCACGTGGGGCCGTGGGCCTTTTCCATAAGCTCCAGCACCCCCGTCTCCTGTTCACCGCAAATGCCCCCCATGCTACAGGGCCGGGCCAGGTCCTGCTGGCACCGCCTCTGTGGCTCCATGGGGACTTCCTCACCAGCCTGGGGCCGTGGGGGAGGGGCGGGTCCTTGCTCCTTTATCTGACTTATCTTAGGATTGACCGCGCGCGCGCGCGCGCACACACACACACACACACACACACTTTCGGAAACTTTTAAAAAATAAATTAATTTCACTGACACTAAAAGGGAAGCTTCGTGGAGTGTGATTGTGGTGACCTGTGAATACTTGGCGACAGTTATGAGCTCTGACATGAGCTAACATCTTCCGTCTCATCCGTCATTGACCCCATTTTACAGACAAGGAAACTGAGGCTCGGAGGCCTGGAGCAATGTGTCTGGGTCACACGGCAGGGAGCCGGGCAGGAATTCAAACACTGCCCGCTGCAGAAGGGAACGTGGCCAACGTGGCCGGCACCTCCCTCCCCTCCAGCCTCACGGCTAAAACGAGTAAGAGGATGGCGTTATGGAAACGGCCACAGGCCGGAGTTTGCCTGGGTTGCCAGGCAACCACGCCGGCCTAGCCGAGCGCGCACAGGTAGGTCAGGCCGGGGCCGGCGGGGACCGTCACCAGAGCGGCCCATGGCGCCCCAGCCCCTCCGCCGCCGGCCCCACGTGGCCCCGACACCTCGGCGACCTTTCCGAAGGGCGGGGCCGAAACTCGGCGGCTCCGCTCCACCGGGTCCCACCGCGCCCGGCAGCGAAACCCGGGTCCGCCCGGAACCGCCTCGCCGCGTGGCTCGGGGCGGCGTCTCCCCCGCGCGATCTAGGCTTCCCGGCGGCGGCGGCGATGCGAGCCCTGGGGCTGGAGCGGGGATTCGGGAAGCGGTGGCGCTCGGGAAGGAGAAGCCGGGTCCCAGCCGCGCCTCCGTCGCGCGTTCCCGCCGCTGAGCCCTCGTGGGCGGCCCGGACGGCTCAGTCATTGGCTGTGGGGTGAGGCCGCGAGCCCCGCCCTTCCCTCTGCGGCGGGGGCGGTCCGGGCGGATGAATGAAGCGGCGCGGGCGGCTGGGCGGTCAGAGCGTGGAGCGCAGCGCGGCGGCCGTGCCTCGGGACCGGGACGGTGAGTGCGCCGGGAGCGGGGAGCGGGAGGCCGGGAGCGGGGAGCGCAGGGCCCGACCGGCTGGCGTAGGAGCACGGCAGGTGCCCCCATCGTGGCCGGGGCTGACGCGCCGCGAGGATGCTCGCGGGGGCGGGAGGCTTGGGCACCGGCCTAGCGCCTGGGGCCTCTCCGCGTGGGAGGTCAGGACCGGGCGGGATTCGAGGCGAAATTCGCCGCCCGCCGCTGCCAGCTGCGCAGGTGGGGCGCTCCCCAGTGGCCCGCGGGCGGAACGAGGCGAAGGGGCCCCCGCTGCGCGGGTGCGGAGCGGAGGCGGTGAGCACTGGGGGCCCAGGGGGGCCTGTCGGGGTGGCCGGGGCGGGGGACGTGGGCAGGTGGCCGGGAGCACACTCAGGCGCAGGCCCCACGGGTCCGGCCGGGGTCGAACGCGTCTCCGCGGCGTCATCCACCTGCGGCTGGGGCGGCTGCCGAGGTGGGGAGGAAATCCTCAAGCGCGGAAGTTTCTCGGGGACGGCCGGGCTTTGTTTGCGCCAGAGGCGCTCAGACACCTCAGGGGTGAGAGGGGAGGAGCGGGGAGGAGCGGGGGCCAAGAGGCCCCTGCGGCCGGACTCACAGGGCTGGTCCCCGGCAGCGGCGGCGCCCCTTTCCCTGCCCCTCCACGCGACATCCTGGCGGTGACTGGGGAGACCCAGGCGCCCCCCAGGTGCAGGCAGAGGGTCAGGTGCCGCTGGGCGCCCCAGCCCAGGGAGGACGGAAAGGAAGGCGCGGGCAGCTTAGCTCCCTAGACCGGCCCTAGACCCGGAACCCCGGAGCACACCCGGCTCCACTTGCCAGGGAGAAGCCGCCTCCCGCACTGGCGCCCGGAAGGGAGAGAGAAGCACAGGGAGGTTTCCGCGTGGTTGTGAACCCTCGGGCTGGGGGTCCCCCGCCTGGCGTGCAGGGCCCTCTTTGGAGCCGCCGTGGGAACTGGCTATGCAGCCCGATTCAGTCTGGAGATGCTGGAACTCAGTAGTTTTCCACAGCGAGGCAACCAGCTTGTCGGCCGCTGCTCCTCAGCTGTGATGTCTGGATCTCGGGTTACCTCGTCTCATCAGAAACTGGCTCTGTGGAGCCCGGTGCCTGCCAGGTTTTCATTCCTGGCAGCATGGGGTGCTTGGATCTCCGAGGACTGCCCCTTGGCCTTAGCGGGCTCCGCTGTGACTCTGGCAACAATAGCAAGGGCAGTGACAGCAGGGGCTGGGGCTGGGCTGGAATGTGCCCCCCAGCAACCCATGAGGTGACCGCTGTGACTCCCACTTCATAGATGAGTAAACTGAGGCACTCAGAGGTGAAGTGACTCGCTCTCGGCCACAGCTAGTGAGTGCTGACAAGGTCTGACTCCAGGCTTGCTCATCACTGTTTTATGACTCTGCTTAAAGAGGCAAAAGGCAACTGTGGGGGCGGCTGGGGGGTCCACGGTTTCGGTCACAGTTATGGGGCCACAGTGTCTGTTCTGGGTTGTCAGTAATCTCAGGGCACCAGTAGGATGTCCCCTTCGACGGAGACCACCCAGCCCGACTTTCCCCTTGCTGCTGGAGTGAGAGAGACTGGGATGCTGACTGCACCAGGCTGCCCTGACTGCCCTCAGCAGGCTGTGCCCTGCTGTCCTGCTGGGCAAGGTCAGCAAGTGGTGCCTGGAAAATTCTTCATGAGGGAGCTTCCCTCCCGAGTGGCCGTGACCTAATCTGTGGCTCACTGGGTGTGGTCCCTGAAGCAGGTACTGGGCAAGTGCCTTCCACAGTGGAGAGCTGGCTGGGCATGAGGCAGACACGGCAGGCTGGGCTGGGTGAAGAATGGCCGAGTGGATGGACGTGCTCTCCTTGCTGGACCAGCTGACTGCAGTGACGGAGTGCAGTGAGGGGCTCCTCCAGGCTCTGATGCACCCCTTGGCTGACGAAGCCCCATTATGGTTTTGGTTCCAGGTCGGTCTGACGTCCGAATAGCAAAGCTTTTCTCAGCCCGTTGTAGAATGAAAAGTTAATTGATCGAGTTTAGTATTGTGCCTACAAATCCTTGATCTAGCTGTCTCCATGAGTGTGAATCCATTTCCCAGTGGGTGCTGCTGATGGCTTCGTGGACTCGTAGACTGAATGTGTCAGGTCCTGGTGCTCTTAGGTGGTCAGAGATAAGCCACAGAAAGTCTAGCGTGCAGCCTGGTGCTGGGGGCAGGAGGGAAGGGGCCCTCAGAGCACCTGGCTGGGAGGGAGCCACTCCAGGCCAGCCCTTCTGCTTCCTCCAGTGGGATGTGGACAGACCACAGGATGTTCCCTCATGAGCCACTTGACCACGTCATTCACAAGAGTGGCCAGGTGCACACCGTTGGCTTTCGGACAAGGACATGGGACAGGCCTCAGACCCTGCCACAGCTCTTGTTCTGGGACACAGGCTGCGGTCTGGCCCCCCTCAAGCTTACTGAGTGTCTGCCAACTTTGGGCAAGATCTGGGTCTCACCCACTTGTTGAAACCACGGGCACGTGGGGAGTGCACTCCTTGAGCAGGGAGGGAGGCGCCATCGGCTCATATGCCAGGTTAACAGGTTCTGCGTGACTCAGAGCCTTGGGCCAAATAGGGGTGTGTGGAGGAAACTGGCCCTGCCTCTGGACAGCAGACTCCCAGCGTGTCCTCCCGCGGGTTTCCGCAGAGGCAGCAGACTAGGGCTGCAGAGAATGGCCTGGTCCTGGGGACTCTCCTTCCTCCTCTGGTCCCTGCCAGCCCTCTGGCCTGTTGGCTGTCCTCAAACGCGTGTGTCTCCGGCTGTCCCTCACCCTTCAGTTCTTTTCAGTAGCCCTCCCGCCAGCATCACACAGAATCAGACCCTGGGATCACATTTCTGGGGGAAGGGAATGCTTTTTCAAACCACATGCGTTTTACAAAAGCCCCTCCCCATGTTGCCCAAGTGCAGGGTGAGACTTGCCACCACCAGCCAGGTTGCTGAAGGTGCCGAGAGCCTGGATTCCTCTCCCTCTTGTGCATGCCCGGGCCCCTCCTGCCCACAGACCCTGCCTTTTCTTGGTGGTTTTTAAAATCTGGCAACCTTGGGGGGCACCTGATGCATCGCCCCTCTGGCCCAAGTCGCGGGGGGGAGCTTGGGATCCTCTGGGTGGTGTGTGGCGTCCATTCTGCCCCAGGCTTACTTGGGGCCCTTCATTTGCCACTGGGATCTGCCCTTTGGGAGACACTGTGGACCTAGGACCTAGGACCATGGGCCTAGGAGGCCACCTGGAAGGAGAGGGGCCACCAGGTAGGTCCCTCATCTGGACAGAGCCTGCCCACCACAGCCTCTCAAGCTCCCCGAGGACCCTTCTAGGTCATGACTCTTCCACAGGTTGGGGGTCAGGTTAGAGCCCTTTTGCTGGTGGCCCCTCTGAGCTGCCCACTCTTCCCTCCTGCCGCCCGCCCTGCCTCCTGGGGTGCACAGGGCTCTCCTAGGACAGGGAGGTCATGGGCTGCCCACCTCATCACCTTTACCCTCAGGAGTCCCAAGGCCCTGGCTGCTCTGCACAGCAGGCTGGGAAGCAGACCCTGTGCCCACGGACTAGCCTGAGAACTGGGAAGGTCCTTTCTCCTTCCCTAGAGGACAAGGAGAGCCGTGAACACCACGGGTCTGTAAAGGGGACCCCCACATGCAGGAAGGAGTGAGTGTAGCATCACTTACACCTTTGCTTACCAGCAACGGAGGCACCGCGGGGTCCTGAGCAAGGGCAGGACAAGCCGCTTTCACCCCAACTGTGGGAGGAGGCTGGGGAGGCCTGGCCAGCAGGAGGGCCTGCAGCGGGCAGGGCCTGCAGGCTCCGCGGCCAGACTGGGCGGATTTCCATTCTGAGTCTGCCTCCCATGAGCTCCTGGTGCTGGCTGGTCCCACTTTGAGTAGGATGCTCAGTGGCTTATTCCATTCCCATGATCTCTCTGTTATGGGGGAAACTGAGGCAGAAAGAGGCCTGTGACCCCCCTGGCTTGGAGCCAGCCTCTTCTTCTCAAGGACACCTTTGGATGGCAGGAGAGCTTTCAGCTCCACGGATGGGATGATGTGTCTGAGGGAAGAGAAAACTGCACACCCGCAGTGCATCCATCCTCCCCACGCTCCTGGGTTCAGTCAAAGACCACATGCAAGCAGGGTGTCCAGGTGGAGGGACGGGTCCTTCTGGGCTGGCCTGGTGCCACGCCTCGGCTCCGTTTTGCTCAGACAATCCTTCACTGTCGGCCCCATGCAAAGTGGTAGCTTCCTGCCTGCTCTCGTTTGCAAGGTCACCAGGTATGCAAATGGCTGAGGCCCCTGATGCTGCTCCCGGGGTCTGTGCCTCAAGCTGAAGAAGCGAAAGCTCCCTTCATTCATTCATCCTGCTTGAGGAAGAGACCCCGGGGCGAATTTGGAGACAGAGGAGAGAGTCCTGGTGTCTTGGGGGAGCAGGTGTGGCTGGGTAGGTGGCTGAGGATGGTGTGGAGGGCAGGTGGGTGCTCTGGGGGACTGGGTGCCCGGCAGACACATGGTTGTGGCTGGCAGCCTCAGAGCTGTCAGGTGCCAGGAGGAGGGACTTGGCTTTCCCCAGGCAGTGCTGGGCCAGAACCTGAAGAGAAAGGAGAACCGAGACCCTGGAAGCCTGGCCTGGGGCAACCGCCAATGTGGAGGGGGTGCCACCCACACAGCCCAGCTCCAGGCCTCCCTGCGGATGCTTGCTGGGCCACAGTAGGTCAGGCAGGCCAGGGGCTGGGAGACTCCAAATAGGTCTCTCAGGGATCCTGGGTCCTTTCTACACACTGCACTGAGAACCAGTGCTTTGCAGAGAGCCCTGCTGAGAAGTGGGTAAGTGAATAGGTCCTAGGGAAGTCGGTGGGCAGAAGTGGCACACGGGATGCGGCTGGCACCCAGTTCCCACAGGCTGGGCTGCGTCAGCCGCCTGCACGCACCCACTGGCTCCTCCCAGGCCCCTGTCCTGGCTTGAGAGCAGGGGAGGCCAAGGATCAGCTGGATTTGCCGCTAAAGGACCTCCTGTCTCAGAGACGCAGCTGACTGACCCGGCCAGCACGAGGAGCTCAGAAGAGAGCTCTGGCCCTGCGGCCTCCTCCTAATGGTGGCACAGGCCCAGACACAGGTACACACGCACGCGCACACCCTCCCTGGCCTGCCCTCAGCTGGAGGCTCCAGGGACACATTATCCCCCAGCTGATCGCTTTGGCCTCATTCATGCCCTGGCTGCTGAGGCCTCTGGCAGCAACTTCACCCCTGCCTCCCCTGCAGAGTTGTTGTGGGTCAGAGCAGGGACAGGGCCAGAGGGGGC